TCATCCACATAAAGAGCCACAAACAAAACATCATCTCCAATTTTCTTTATATAAAGTGCATGTTCATAGGGGCACTGCTCAAAACAATTTTCCTTGAAATAAGTGTCAATACGAGTACTCCACGCCCGTGGTGCCTGCTTCAACCCGTAAAGTGCCTTCTTCAACCTCAGCACTTTCTTCTCTTCTCCACCTTTCATGTATCCCGGTGGCTGTTCGAGATAGACTTCTTCTTCATTTACTCCATTCAAGAATGCCGACTTGACATCCATTTGAAATATCTGCCACATATGTTGAGCTGCTTGTGAAATCAATAGCCGAATTGTCTCCATCCTTGCGACGGGAGCAAATACCTCGTCATAATCAATTCCTGCCCTTTGCTTGTAACCCTTTGCAACTAGCCGAGCTTTATATCGTTCTATCTCCCCTTGAGCCTTCATTTTCTTCTTAAATACCCACTTTACCCCAATGGGCTGACTCCCTCCAGATAGCTCGGCTAACTCCCACGTATTATTTCGATCAATGGCTTCTATCTCCTCATCCATGGCGTCTTGCCATTTCTTATCTCTGATGGCTTCTTCAAAGCTTATATTTTCAGAATCTGCAAGAAGACAAACAAAATGTACCTCACTTGTTGACTCATATATGTCTTGTATGCTCCGCATACTGGGTTGTCGTACCTCGTCTTCATCATCAGAAGCTTCAGGACTTGCCGGGTTGATAACTTGTGTTGAGATTCTGCCTTCAAAATTCACCTCGGGTGAATTGCTCCAGTCCCACTCATCTGCTTCATTGAACCTTACATCTCGGCTCACTACGACTTCTTGTTGACAGGGTCAAACAGCTTATACCCCTTTGTTTTTTCATCATATCCCATAAAAACATATTTCCTGCTTTTGTCCTCGAGCTTAGTTCTGAGCTGGTCCGGTACGTGTGCAAAGGCCACACTACCGAATACTATGAGATGAGCCACTGACGGCTTTTGACCGCTCCAAGCTTCCTGTGGTGTTTTGTCCTCTAAACTCGAATGTGGACATCGATTCTGCACATACACAGCGCACTGCACAGCTTCCGCCCAAAACTCCTTCGGCATCTTCTTGTTCTTCAGCATTGACCGAACCATGTCAAGAACAGTTCGGTTCTTCCTTTCAGCAACGCCGTTTTGTTGTGGTGAGTATGGTGCTATTAGAAACCTTCTTATCCCATGTTCCTCACAGAATGTCAGAAATGTATATTCTCCACCTCGGTCAGAACGCACCGACTTGATGAATTTTCATGTTGCCTTCTCAATCATTACTTTAAACTTTTTGAATACTTCAAACACCTCGGACTTCTCCTTCAGGAAATAAACCCAAGTTTTTCATGAGAAATCATCAATGAAAGAAATGAAATATTTCTTACCGCTAAAGGATTCTGGGGTGATTGGACCACACAGATCAGTATGAATCAACTCCAGAGGCTGCTTGGCCCGAAATCTCGCCATCTTCTGAAACGTGGTCCTAGCATGCTTGCTAAGTACACAACTCTCACAAAACTTTCCTTCATAGTTGATGTTAGGCAGTCCGTCAACCATCTTCTTCTTTGCCAGCTCGATTAGACCACCATAATGTCGGTGACCAAAGCGGAGGTGCCAAAGTGACGCCTTGTCTTCCACCTCGGCTTGTAAACAGTCGACCTGTACACATCTCAAGTTCAGTTTGTACATTCGATTTCTGCCCATTTCAACTCGGACTATCAGCCGACCTCTCTCATCTTTCAAATACAATACTCGGTCCTTCATCATAACCGAGTAACCTTTCTCCATCAATTGACCCATGCTTAAAATATTGCTTTTTAGGTCGGGTACATAGTACACATCTCGAATTGAGCCAATCAACCCGTCCTTTTGCAGGAAGCATACCGTACCACGGCCTTTTACCTCAACCTTCGAGGCATCCCCGAACGAAACATGTCTGGTCTCCACCTTTCTCATCTCCTTGAAGAAATGCTTATGTCCGCACATGTGGTTACTCGCACCCGTGTCAAGATACCACTCCATGTCATCATCTGAGTTTCCTTCATTGTGTGTCATTAACAAGACACCATCCTTCATCTCCCCTTCTATGGCTAGGTTGGATGTCTCCTCCACCCTTTTCTCTTCTCTGCATTCTCTTGCAAAATGTCCGACTTTTCCACAGTTGTAACACTTGTCCGAGTTACAATCTTTCGCAAAGTGACCAAACTTGCCACACTTGTAACGCTCGACGTTGGAATAATATGATCGTCCTCCTCGTCGACCTCTTTCTCTTCCACGCCAGTTCTGTTGACTTGATTGTCCTACCTCATAATTACAACCTTCTTGACTTCGGCCTCGGCCTCTACCACTACGGCCAGTGCCTCGTCCACCGCGACCACGTCCTCTACCTCAGAAGTTTTAAGAATAGAGAGCCTTCTCATCTTTAAGTGTTGGTTTGGTCTGAAGTGCTTGTCCAAGAGTCTCCTCATTCTTCTTCTTCCGTTGCTCATGCGCTTCAAGAGAACCGGCTAGCTCATCAATGGTGAGCGTAGCTAGATCTTTGGATTCTTCTATAGCACATACCACGTTCTCAATGCTGTCGGTCAAAGATCTCAAGATCTTCTCCACCACTATGGTGTCCGCTACATCTTCTCCATTTCGTTTCAATTGATTCACAATGGTTTGAACACGAGTAATGAACTCGGATACTCCTTTTGTGTCCTTCATCTTCATTCCCTCCAACTCGGTACGAAGGGTTTGAAGCCGAACTTGCTTAACTCAGTTGGCTCCTCTATAGACATTTGCCAGAATGTCCCACGCTTCCTTTGAGGTCTCCGCATTCGCTATCTTTTCAAAGCCGGACTCATCTACAGCTCGGAAGAGCATGAACAACGCCGCCTTGTCCTTTGCACGTGTCTCTTTCAACGTTCTAGTTTGGGCCGCCGTGTATCCTGCGGTGGTCGCTGGTTCTGCAAAGCCTTCCTGGACGACCTCCCAAGCTTCCTGGGAACCGAGAAGAGCCTTCATCTGGATACTCCAATTCTCGTAATTCCCTTTTGTCAATTTAGGCAACGCCATATTACTTACACTCTCCATAGCTCTGATACCAATTTGTAGGATAGCTCAAATACAAAACCAACAAATAAAACAACTATTCAAGAATGTCGTGAGGACTTGTGGAGAAAGAGAACAAACTTCTGTGAAATATTTTACTAAACTTTGTTGCTTCTAAATTCTATGTTTCTCAAACAATATACTAGACTATAAAACTGCAACACTAAATAGCCATAAACCACAATTAAAGCCAAACTTAATAACAAAACATAACGACTGACTCTTAACTTTCAAAACTCCTAAAATTAAATGCTAAACTTATGACTCATAAACTATCCATAACTGACAAATTTAAAACCATTAAAAATTAAACTGACTGCTTAATTAAACCCATTAAAAACTAAACTGACATTTAACGTTTATTCTTAACAGAAGTCATCTTTCTTAGCAGTGATGTTGCCATTATGCAGGATGAAAATGTAACCTAAAAAATTGTTGACGTTTTATTTACAATATGGCACAGAAACTTCAGGGCGTGTTTTACACTTCTCTCAAGGTTTAATTTGCCCCTACAGACGCTAAGAGCTGAATTTCCAGCAAGATATAATAAAGAACATTTTTGTTTTGCACTTACATAATGAAGTCAATAACAACAATGTTATTCTACAGAATGACAATTTTCTAATCAATACAGAAACACCTTGGAAAAAAGAAGTCTGGAAAGGTATCTTGTGAAGTATTACCAGAAGGTTTGGGTTGAAATGGTTGTTCACGGTTGGTTCTTATTAGTAAGTCATTTTAAAGTAATATCTCTTTTTTAAAAATTATACATTAATTAACCATAAATTTGCATTGATTCATAAAGGAAATTGCAACTAATAACAGCAAGGATTGATGGGGTTGCTTTGGGTTGAGAATTAATACGAATCTAGATCAGCATCAGATGGGGTTGGAGCAATAGGGTATTACAAAACTCAATTACAGATGCTTTTTTATTTGTTTTGTGTTGAAAGACTGCACGCCTCAAGCTACTATTGGCCAGAAAAATACACAATAACTTATTTCTTCTTGCAAGTTGCATTTATAAAATGATATATCTAAGAAAATATAGATTTAACAATAGCGATCATATCCTTGAAAAGGAAAAATTATTTAACTCTGCTCTTTTTCATGCATTGAGGATAAGATGGTGATGTACCTATCAAACATAACAACTTGTGGCATTAATTACTTCTAGTAACCAACTTGCTCAACAATTGGCTTATACTTTATATTTTTGGAATCCTTCAATATATTTTATTTTCAGGTAGCAGACTACATAGAAAAGTTGTATTAGTTAATTTGGAGTCAGCTACATAATTGTCTTTCATTTTCAATGCATTTTTTTCTTTTACTATATTATAATATCATACAATTGGAATCCTACAATATATTTGATTTTCAGGTTTCAAACTACATAGAAAAGTTGTATTTGTTAATTTGGAGGGGCTACTTGTCTTCAGAATGCAAAAAGTCTAGGTTTTAGAGTTGAAACTTCAAAAGACAAGAAGTTACTTTGGAATTATAGTTTTTAATGTTCAATGAAATATTTACATTCTTATCACCAAGTATGTGGATGAACTGCTAAGGAATGTTTCAACTTAATTAATCAATGATTTAAAGTTTGACCTCTAGATATACAGTACTAAAAATTTGATAGGTGAAGTTTTACCACTCTTATAGTCATGTCTAACTCGAAACGAATTAATCGAGTAATTGATCAATAATGGGGAGAAATAAAAATAAAAATTTCCATCTTCTATTAGATAATTGAAAAGACTGGACAATAAAACAACTAATCACATGTCATCTGCTAGAAATTTCTCTATTTCGATTTCGTTCTCAATTTCTTCTTAACTTCTATAGTTTTTTAGATGTAAAACAAAACGTGTATATACATAAGAACATTAATGGTTTACAACCGAAAACTTAATTGCTTTCTACATACATACTCATCAGTGGGAGAAAATTCAAAGTGAGTTTTAATTTCTTCAAATCTCTCTGACAGAAACAAGCTTTGAAAGTTTTCCAATGCTGCTGAAACCCTTGCTTCTGCTGTAAACAATGCCTTGACAGGCCTGTGGTCCGATAGTTTTGATTCACTTCTAGCATACTGAGTTTGCTTTAAACCCTTTCCGAACCATATTATTCTGTCACACCTAAAATGAAGAACACCAAAATACAAAACATTTAATCATTTCTAAAACTTGGTCACGCGCGTGATCATTCATTTCTTATATATTGGGTGATATGTCTCTTACCATGCTGGTGCTCGCTTCTTTTCTGCCTTTATACCATGATGAAAACATCCATAGTACAGATCTGAATTTGGAAAATACTTGTAGGTTGGGGCGAATGTGATTGCTCCTTCATGCCATCCACTTAACATGCTTCCACTCATTAGCTCCACCGTTAGCTTCATTTTCATTCCATCCAAGTTAATTAGGGAATACACCAAAAGAAATTCCAGCTAGTTTTTCTTTGTCCCTTTCTTCAATAATATATATAGGGACATATCATTTTAGACCAATATGCATTCCACTCTTAGTGTTGGTAATTGATCTCATTTATATCTAACGATTCTAATTAATTAGTTATATGACTCATTAAATGCAAATGGATCAACGGCCAAGGCACATTTTGATGAATGTATAGGAGATATGTTTTTTGCTCAAAAATATATCCTTTATTAATTATGTGAATCATTAAATAAAAATGAGATGATTAATAATGAATATAAGAATGTAATTTAGATTTACAAGAATATAAGTTGATATCTCCCGTTTAGATGTATATTTATATGGGTAATACTTCTCTTATTTAATACGAGAGAAAAAAATTTCCTACATTAACAAGAAATATAAAGCCCACAAAGTTAAAAAAACAAAACAAAAAAAAAATTGCAAAAACATCTTTTTATATTTATGTAATATGAGATAATTAATTATCTCCTACAGGAGAAAACAATTTCGCTCCTCCTATACCTGTTCATTTTGTAGTAAGGAATCCCAGTCTCCTTTTTCAATGAGCAAGCGTGTCGTTTCTTCCGGTAGAGAAATTCTGTAATTTAAATCTCCAAGAAATATTACACAGCTGCACAAGACAGGGCGTGATTAAATGCTTAAAATAATGTAACATGTACGCCAAAGTAAATGCAAGTTGGCAAATTCAATTTGATTATTCGGTAATCAAAAGAGGTCAAATGCTTTTAACTTTTTGAGATATTTCAATAACTGCAAACGGTTATCTTAAGTTGTTTTATGTATTTATTTATTTATTTATTTGGGTACTCTAGGGTTTTTTATTCTTTTTGGTGCTTTTTGTCACTTTTTGTTAGGTATACAACTCACGGTCCCACTATAGCAGAACAATTTGCTTACAGCTTATTAAAATTGATTAATTGATAATATAGTTTACTTACAAATATCTTCCCAAAAACAAAAAAAGTTACAAACATAAAAACCAACAAAGAACAATATTTTAGAGTTTTGGCGGCTTTCAATCTAGTAGGACAAATTCAGAGCTGGAGACTAGCCATAATGATGATTCTTTAAGCAAAAATATTTATTTTAAATGCCATAAAAAATTTATATTCAGCAAATAAATTATTCAATATTCGCACCTTGTTTTCATGATTTGTTGGGAAAGGAATCTAACTATTAAAGAAAAAATAAAAAACAATTATTAAGACTGATTGGTTGGACGGTTTCAAACAATTGTAATTACTCACTCATGATCGAGAATCCTTCTTGGCAAATCAAGCATAGGGCCTTTAGGAAAGCTTGTCCTAGAAAATATTTCAGTAACATTAGAGTTCCTATGCTTCTCATCGCCCTCTCTTCCTCCAGAAGCTAGATGACTGCACACAAAGCAGAAGCTTGTTTCATGTAACATAAATCTCACAGATACAGAACCCTGCAAATTAATCAAAGTTGTGAAAGGAAAGAGAAAAAGTTAAATTACAGGAAAAAGAAATTAAATACAAAAAGGATTCCTAGATAACCAATTCACATATGAACTTTTTTTCCACCTTCATCAATTAATCGACTAATTCAGTCGAGCCGAGCATAATCACAAGAACAGTAAAATTCTCTGTTAGAAAGATATAATATAAAAATCATTGATAGACCTTAACTTTTCATCTTAATGTAAAGAATCAATTCAACTTAAAAGCTTAAGCGGAGAAGTGAATGTCATCAATAATTTTTATATTATATCTCTCTAACACACCCTCTCACACAAAAAGCTCTTTGGACTTGAAGCATGAATACTTTTTTTTTTTGTTTCTACCTTATACTTACTTAATTTCAATAGAAAACGGAGTGGTGAGGATCAAACTCGTGATCACCGACCATGTAAAGTAACCATCTCACCTAAACAACTCAAGCTAATAAGTGAAGGTTCATCAATGATTTTTATATTATGTCTCTCTAACAGTCTTCATACTCGAATTTTAATACAGCTACGTATTCAGGACTCGAAATCGAAACCAATCGTTAAGCTATTGGACACTACCAATTTATATATGAAGTTTAAGCCTATTGGACACTACTTATCGAATGTGATGTACGTAGACAGTGATGATTAAATACATATATATGTTGAAGTGTTAAACTAATATCAATTAAGTGGGGTTTGGTTAGGTCACCTTGTTCCCTAAGCAGCCCATGATGCCACACCCTACACATGAGACACTTGGATGTTGAATGAATGGACTAAGGTCTCTCCTAGCCCAGACAGATATCAATATACCAACCATTTGCTTGCTAATGATGCACTGGAAATCTTGTGGGGTTTTAGTGTGCTGAGTTGGATTTCCTTCTTTATTGGGATAAACATTCTTCAGCTGTTGCTTTTTATTATCACGTTGATCTTGTGCCCTCTTGTTCAAAGCTTCTCTGATTATGGAATTCCATTTCTTAGAAATCTTACTATTTTCAGATCCCAACACATTTGATGCTTTTAGAGGCACAATTTCTTGAAACCTGGATTGTAGTTAAACACAGTTAAAAGTAATTAAGTACATGAAATTGCTACATGCATAATATTATAATAAATATACTTTCTCAACTAGTTATTCTATGCTAGAAATCCTGAAGCAGTGCTGACAATACCCAAGTACATAGATGTCAAAGGAGTTGCTGCATATCTCCAACAAATTCTCTATATTCAATCCTTCATCTGGTGCAACCCCACCTACGTTCCATGTGCTGACAAAAACCCTTAAAGGAATAAAGAAAAAGGATGTCAGAAAGATAGAGAAATGAACTCAAACAACATATATACTGCAGCTTTTTCTGTATATGCTGTTCTGCATAAGATATCAGATAGATAGGAATATAAAATTAGTAAGAGGGTGTTTTTCTTCTTACTTGTACTTTTCTATGTCCTTGTGATCATTAAGAATAGCCTTAGGTCTCAGAGATGATTGATCATTACTTGTAATACCCAACAAGGGTTCTGTATAATTTGGATAATCTGTTATAAAATCACTGCTTCCCAGTCGCTTGTTGAGTATCTTATTAGCCACTAATGCAGGCCACATGACCTAAAGAAAATGATATATGCAAATCCATATCAAGAAAATTTGGTAAAGAATTTAAATGATAATGGAATAAAGGATGAGAAGGAGAGTGATACTTACCTCTGTTAGTGGTTTGTATTAGTTCTGAAACTTGAGAAAGAGGAAGACTTTTAATGTGACGTAAAAAAGGATGCACCTTTTCTACATTGCTCGTCAAATATTTTCAATCTAGGAACATTTAACGTTGTCCTCCCAGAAAGGGTGTGTGAGAGAGAGAGAGCAGAAAACATGGGTCTTCTTGCAGATATGAATTATTCTGTTTGTTGATGAGTAGAATTTGAAGGATATCTTAATGTTTCCCATATTTAAATGTTGAAAATGAGTGCAAGTGGGAGTGTGGTCCACACATGAAAAAATAGGCAAATATATAAGAAGTGATTGGCACCAATAAGTAGCCAAGAATTTTGCCGACATTGAGTGAATAAATGAAGGGACTTTTTCAGCAACCAGCCCTGCCGTCACCGTGCGAATAAACTAACCATATAGTTAAAGAAAATTTAGTCCCCAAGGGGTAGTGGCAGGTAAGTGGATTGTGCCCAAGAAACGAGCAGTTGAATTTGGAAGGTTTATGGTTTAATTTTTAGACGAAACAATTTGAGGTAATGAAGAGAATTGATCTCATCTGAATGGATAGAGATATTCTTATTATTTTTTGCAACATGGTTTAAAAAAAATTATGGGATGACTTATTACAATCAAACATATTTTTTTAATAGCAAATGGTGGTAACTCAGTTAGTAGCAAGAGAGATAAGTAAGTGAAAAGAAAAAGGGGTATTGGTTCGATCCCCACATACTACCTTTGTGAGGTATTTAAATATCTTCATCATACACCCGTCTCGCACTCCAAATTAGTCTCATGGCCAGTTCAAATAGTCGAAGCTTGTGGGAATACCAGAAGGAGCCAACTCACATCAAAAAGGTAAGTAGGGTTTGGTTAACTTATATATATATGTGTGTGTGTGGAAAAATGTGTATCATTTTAAAGGATGTAAAGTTATGTTATTTTAAGTGAGAGAAAAGATACATAAATGAGGAGAGAGAGTGGACAAAAAAATATAAAGTGTAGATCTCACCTCTTTGTTAGAGTGAAATGATATAAGTTGTGTCATTTAAAAGGGTAAACATTTTTTCCTATATATATAAGGATAGGTTATTCTACCTACCATTTTTTCTGTCTACCTTTGCCTACCACCCTCCAACACCGTTAGATCAGAATCTTAAGAAGAGAGAGAAAGATAAATGTTAGTTAATATTCTGATCTAATGGTGTTTTAGAGTGGTAGGCACAGGTAGGCAGAAAAATTGGTAGGTAGAATAACATATCCCATATATATATATATATATATATATAGATAGGGTTTGTCGGATGTACAATAACTGCACCTAAGCATTGGTGCAGTCATATAAAACTACGTCGTTTTATAGTGTAGAGGCAATAAATATGGGGAATTATCACTAAAATAAATATAAAATATTAAATATGGATAATCATAATCATACAAATGTGGAAATAAATATAATATTTTGGATACCAAAAAAAAAAATATAATATTTTTATTTTCAACAGTTAATTTTGGATGCGAACTTTTTTATACTATCCAAAACGGCGTCAGTTTTAGCTTACAGTACGAAACGTTATATACAATGACAGTACAAATAATAACTCCATATATATATATATATATATATATATATATATATATATATATATACATATATATAGGGGTTTATATTTCTGCAGCTGCTGTACGTGCAACAATCAAATACTTGCCATATATATACTTGAAAGCATTAAATGCGAGGAATCATAACCATACAAAGGATGAAAGCATTAAATGTAGGAAATCATAACCATACACCTGTCGTTGTTGTAAGTAAAGCGGCTGCAGAAATGATTTTACCATATATATATATATATATATATGAGACAGGATCCTTTGACACCGGTGTCAAAGAAAAAGTTTGACACCTCATCTGAGAGCCGTTAGATTAAAAAAAATCAACGATTCTGATTTGTAAGCATGTGACACCATTGATTTTTTTTAATCTAACGGCTCTCAAATGAGGTGTCAAACTTTTTCTTTGACACCAGTGTCAAAGGATCCTGCCTCTATATATATATATATATATATATATATATATATATATATATATAAGTCATTATATATATATAAGTCATTTTGTAATAAATATTATAAAGTAAACTATCTATGGTTTTTTTTCTTAAATTTTTTTGTTATTGCTTTATATAGCATTTGGTGTGATAAATCCTTGTTTTAGTAATTATATATAGATAGAGTTTTGTATATGTAATGAATGATCTAATTAAAAAACATTTTACATATATTTTATAAAAAACACATTTTTTATTGTTATTGCTCCAGCCATAAACGGGATATTCTTCAGATTCCATTCATTATTGACACGTTATTGACAATTATATTATACATAAGGCGCGTAACCAGAAATTCATCGATCAACTAAGATGGAACTACATCTACACGTAAAATTATAATTGTTGTGGATAAATCTTCCCATAGATATATAAATATTTTACACGAAATACAGCTAGAAACTCTTGTGCTGAAGTCACCCTGTGTCACAGAAGAGGACTTGGTTTGAATATCTATGCACGTGGTTTCAGAATTTAATTAGGGGTCTTTGAGAAAACGGCAAAGGAAATAAAATACAATGAAGTATGTACGACAGATTGAGTGAATTTGAAGAGGGAAAGAACCTGTTTCTTGTGCGTCAGGTACCCCGTTTAGCTTGGCTTACTTAATAGGCGTATTCAAAATCATAATATTTGAACATTATTGTAATTGGAATATGTGTAAATAACTAGTATATGATAGCGAAATTGTAAGAATTTGTATGAAAACTGAAAAGTCCAAGATGTAAATTGTAAGATTTCTTCCTTGAACCAGTCAAAAAATAACTTATTTTATAAATGTTTAATGATAAATTATTCAAACATTTTTTAAATAATTGATCTGGACCAATCCCACGCGAGATATAAGGCTCAGTCCATGAATGGCCCAAGAAGTCAGACGTGTCTTGTAACACCTCGTGTTAACCCGGTTTGTTAACATATCATCGTATTAAGCTACGCTTAATTAAAATTTGCAAAATTTCTTTTTCTGTTCAATTATGATGTCATTATCATTACCAAGTTGAATTACCTAATTCATTTTCAAAATATTGTCTGTATGTAAATTGCAAATAGACAGCTAACTGAAATACCTCATAAATAAATAAGTGAGTATCTAAGTCACGGATCTACAACACGTAGTCCGGACATAATCCTGATACAATTATACAACTTGAAACAACTAAAAACATAAAGTCAAGTCAATGTGGCATGGACAATCCTCATGCTCACCCAATAAGGCAACAACGCCCAACAGCAGTCTCAAATCAAACAACATGACAGTAAAGATAAAGCAATGTCAGCATCCAGCAAAATCATCATAATAGCATGCAATCAGCAAAGCTCCGGCCTCCTGCCGCTAGAGGTCTCAACCCTCGCATTACCTGAACCTGAAATATGTGCCCCAAACGTGGGGTGAGATCTCTAAACAGAAATCTCAGTAAGACAAGGGGTCCTCAAGGATCTTCCACCCCAAGCTCACTTACATGTGCAATATAAGTTCTAAAAGCAGTATTTCAATATCAGTTCCAAAACAGTGCAATGCAGCAGATAATCATGTCATGTGTGTTATAACTATTCTACTGATCAGAGAAGTGCAGGAATACATCTATTACCCACACAGTACACGCCCATGTTGTACCCGCCTCCCCATGGCTTCCTGGCTAGGCGAAACACCACATACATATCATAAGCATTTTGCACTTAACAGCTCCATAGCATTTCAATAAAACAGTACATGGCAACACATCATACATATAAACCATCCACCCATGGGACATGGTGGAACATACAATGGCTAAACCGAGGACACGAAAACTTACCTTGCAAGCTAACTATCCAATGCCAAGAGTCCACACAAGCTCAAAGTCCAAACACAGCAGAATCACAATCTGTTTTGGACCAATCATCATATCAATAATCATACTTAACAATTATACGACATAAAGACAACGCCTTTCCTTACGTTTCATGTCTTAAGGCTTTTCACAAAGCCACAAGCCCTTAATCACTTGATTCTGACTTAAATAAGTTATTACAGAAGTTCAACTTTCACAATCTAGGGTCCACAAACCCATAACTCAGTTCTGTATGAACAGTACAGTTACTGTTCTCGAAAACCCAGAATATACGGATATTTGTCGGAGGCATATCCGGATATCAATATTCGGATATCATATCCGGATATTGTAACACCCCGTATATGTATCTGGTATGTTATCATATCATCGTATTAAGCTGCGCTTAACTAAAATTGCGAAATATCTTTTTCTTTTCAATTATGATGTCATTATCCTTACCAACTTGCTTAATTAATCAATTGATAAAAACATTGCCTGTATGTAAATTGCAAAAGACAGCTAACTGAAATACCTTATTAATTAAACAGCATAAATATGTCTCTAGTCACGGAACTACAACACGTAGATCGGACAAATCCTGATAGTTTATACAACTCCAACTAAAAGACTAACGACCAAGTGACATGGACAAACCCCATGCTCACCCAAATAAGGCAACAAAGCCCAACATAAGTCTCAACTCAAAATCATAAATGGCAGAAAACATAACAGCAACCAAATCCAGTCATGCCAACATAAATATAAACAGCAATAATCATCAACTAAGCTCCGGCCTCCTGTCGCCAGAGGCATCAGCCCCCAAATTACCTGAACCTGAAATAAGCGTCCCCAAACGTGGGGTGAGATCTCTAAACCAGAAATCTCAGTAAGACAAGGGGTCCTCAAGGATCTTCCACCCCAAGCTCACTTACATGTGCAATATAAGTTCAAAAGCAGTTTAACAATATAA